CGAACAGCCACGCCTCGGCGCCCCCCAGCAGCGCGCCCCGGGCCGAGGCCCAGGCCCCGGGCTTGGGGAGCCCGCAGGGGCGATCGCAGCCGCTCCTCCGAGCCCCTTCTTTCCCGGGGCCAGGGCGCTCGCAGCCGGCGCCGCTCCCTCTAGTCTGGCCGTCCAGGGCTCAGCTACCAGCTGTTTAAGGGCTCTGAGTGCCCAGGGCTCTGCGGGGACGTGGGCTCCGAGCCCATCTGCCTACTTTCAAAATATCTAAGTACAGCACGCAGCAGCCTGCACCTCCGGCTGGGGAGGGCCGGACTTCGGGAGGCTCCGGCACCCAGAAGCCGCACCCGCGCCCCCCACCCCACGGGCTCTCCCTGGGGAAGGACGCTCCGGGCTTCCCATGGGGGGTGGCGCGGCCTCCGGGCCCCCTTTGTGCCGGGCAGGGCAGGGCCCCCCATTTCCATGCAAGCTTCTGACGCTCCCCTCTCCCCCCGCTTCAGTTAATCTTTGTTCCCCTTTTCTGCTGAGAGGAGAAAAAAAAAGAGAGAGAGAGAAAGAAAGAAAAGAAGGAAAAAAAGGCGTGACTTGATTTTCAAACGAAACTCCCACAGCAAACAAAACCCTTTTAGAGAAATAAGAAAGGAGGAAGAAGGAAGAAAAGAGGGGAGGAAATAAAAAGGAGGGGGCAGAGAAAAGCCTCCAGGCTTTCCATTCGAGTGGGAGAGTTGAACCGAAAGAAAGAGAAAGAAAGGAAGAAAAATCCTCTCTGCGGTAGAAAGAGAAAAAGAAAACTTGGGCTGACAAGAGGGGGGTGCTGGGGGGGTGGAAGGAAGTGAGAAAACAAAAGAGAGATAAAAGGGCTGCTTTTCTGTCTCTCTCTTCCTCTGCGAGCTGGGTTAGGAGGAGCTGTTTTGCATCCCTTCACGTCAGCCCTGCCTCATTCCCTTCTTCCAGGGAGGGAGAGAGCGCGAGCGAGAGAGCGAGCGAGAGAGGAGGGGGAGGGAGAGAGACAGAGAGAGAGGGAGAGAGAGAAAGAGGAGCCGGAGGGAGGGCGCAGGAGCGGCGGCGGGCGCGCGTGGAGGCGGGCGGCCGGCGCGCAGCAGCAGCCC